TTGATATCAAGGGCCCCAAAGTGAACATTGATGTCCCAGATGTGGATGCTCATGGCCCAGACTGGCATCTGAAGATGCCCAAGGTGAAAATGCCCAAGTTCAGCATGCCTGGCTTCAAAGGAGAGGGCCCAGAAGTGGATGTGAACCTTCCCAAGGCTGACATTGACATCTCAGGACCCAAAGTAGACATTGATGTTCCAGATGTGAATATTGAAGGTCCAGATGCAAAACTGAAAGGCCCCAAGTTCAAGATGCCTGAGATGAACATAAAAGCTCCCAAGATCTCCATGCCTGACATTGATTTGCATTTGAAGGGCCCCAAAGTAAAAGGTGATGTGGATGTTTCTCTGCCCAAAGTGGAAGGTGACATAAAGGGCCCCGAAGTTGATATCAAGGGCCCAAAATTGGACATTGAAACTCCTGATGTCAATATTGAAGGTCCAGAAGGGAAACTGAAGGGGCCCAAATTTAAGATGCCAGAGATGAACATCAAAGCCCCCAAGATTTCTGTGCCTGACTTTGACTTAAATCTGAAAGGGCCAAAGGTAAAGGGAGATGTGGATCTTTCGCTCCCCAAGGTGGAAGGAGATCTGAAAGGACCAGAGGTGGACATTGAAGGTCCTGAAGGAAAAATCAAAGGGCCAAAATTTAAGATGCCTGATGTCCATTTCAAAACTCCTCAAATCTCCGTGAGTGACATTGATTTGAACTTGAAAGGGCCTAAGGTAAAAGGAGATTTGGACATTTCTATTCCTAATGTGGAAGGAGATCTGAAAGGCCCCAAACTGGATGTCAAAGCCCCTAAGCTGGATATAGACACTCCTGACATTGACATCCATGGTCCAGAAGGGAAACTGAAGGGCCCCAAGTTTAAAATGCCTGACTTGCACCTCAAGGCACCCAAGATCTCCATGGCTGAAGTTGACCTGAATCTGAAGGGTCCAAAGGTGAAGGGTGATGTGGACGTTTCTCTACCCAAAGTGGAAGGTGATCTGAAGGGCCCTGAAGTTGACATCAAAGGCCCCAAAGTAGGTGTTGATGTCCCAGATGTGGATGTTCACGGTCCAGACTGGCACTTGAAGATGCCCAAAGTGAAAATGCCCAAGTTCAGCATGCCTGGCTTCAGAGGAGAGGGCCCAGAAGTGGATGTGAACCTGCCCAAGGCTGACATTGATGTCTCAGGGCCCAAGGTGGACATTGATGTTCCAGATGTGAATATCGAAGGTCCAGATGCAAAACTGAAGGCACCCAAGTTCAAGATGCCTGAGATGAACATCAAAGCCCCCAAGATCTCCATGCCTGACACTGACTTACACTTGAAGGGCCCCAGAGTGAAGGGTGATGTGGATGTTTCCCTGCCTAAAGTGGAAGGTGACTTAAAGGGCCCTGAAGTAGATCTTAAAGGCCCCAAAGTGAACATTGATGTCCCAGATGTGGATGTTCAAGGCCCAGACTGGCATCTGAAGATGCCCAAGATGAAAATGCCCAAGTTCAGCATGCCTGGCTTCAAAGGAGAGGGCCCAGAAGTGGATGTGAATCTTCCCAAGGCTGACATTGACATCTCTGGACCCAAAGTGGACATTGATGTTCCAGATGTGAATATCGAAGGTCCAGATGCAAAACTGAAGGGGCCCAAGTTCCAGATGCCCGAGATAAATATCAAGGCTCCCAAAATCTCTATGCATGATGTTGACATGGGTTTGGAAGGACCCAAAGTGAAAGGAGACTATGATGTGTCTGTCCCTAAGGTTGAAGGTACTTTCAAAAGCCCAGAAGTAGAACTTATAGGTCCAGGTCTGGATTTTAAAGGCCCTGATGCCAAACTCAGTGGCCCAAATTTGAAGATGCCATCACTAGATATATCTGCCCCTAAAGTAACTGCTCCTGATATTGATTTACATCTTAAAGCACCAAAAATTGGAGTTTCTGGTCCCAAGTTAGAAGGTGGTGAACTGGACCTCAAGGGCCCCAAAGTTGATTTAGAAACTCCAAGCTTAGATGTACACATGGAGAGCCCAGATATTAACATTGAGGGGCCAGATGTTAAAATCCCCAAATTTAAGAAACCCAAGTTTGGATTTGGGGCAAAAGGCCCCAAAGCTGACATCAAGTCACCTTGTCTAGATGTGACTGTTCCTGAGGCAGAGCTGAATGGTCAGACTCCTGAAATTAGTGTTGGTGGCAAGGGCAAGAAAAGTAAGTTTAAAATGCCTAAAATTCACATGAGTGGCCCCAAAATTAAGCCCAAAAAGCAGGGATTTGACTTGAATGTTCCTGGAGGTGAAATCGATGCCAGTCTCAAGACCCCTGATGTAGACATCAATGTTGTGGGGCCGGATGCTGCACTTAAAGTTGATGTGAAATCTCCCAAAACCAAGAAACCTATGTTTGGAAAAATGTACTTCCCGGATGTAGAATTTGACATTAAATCACCTAAATTTAAAGCTGAGGCCTCCCTCCCAAGCCCCAAAATAGAGGGTGAAATCCAGGCACCTGATCTGGGCATTTCTTCGCCGGGGATTAATGTGGAAGGTCCTGACATCAAGCTGAAGGCTCCCAAGTTCAAGGCGCCAAGTGTGGATGTCTCAGGGCCAAAAATAGAGGGCAACTTAAAAGGCCCTAGGGTGCAGGCAAACTTGGACACAACTGACATCAACATCGAAGGCCCAGATGCTAAAGTCAAAGCACCATCTTTTGGCATTTCTGCCCCTCAAGTCTCCATCCCCGATGTGAATGTGAACTTGAAAGGACCAAAGGTAAAGGGTGATGTCCCCAGTGTGGGGCTGGAAGGACCAGACGTAGATCTGCAAGGTCCGGAAGCAAAAATCAAGTTCCCCAAGTTTTCAATGCCCAAAATTGGTGTCCCTGGCATGAAAATGGAGGACGGGAGAGCCGAGGTCCATGCCCAGCTGCCCGGTCTGGAAGGAGGCTTGAGCGCACCAGATGTTAAACTTGAAGGGCCTGACGTGTCTTTGAAGGGGCCAAAAGTAGACTTGCCTTCAGTGAACCTCTCAATGCCAAAAGTCTCTGGGCCTGACCTTGACCTCAATTTGAAAGGACCAAGTTTGAAGGGAGACCTGGATGCATCTATTCCCAGCATGAAGGTGCATGCCCCAGGGCTTAACCTCAAAGGTGTTGGTGGAAAGGTGCAGATGGAAGGAGACGGGGTTAAAGTGCCGGGGATCGATGCCACGTCACTTAACGTTCATGCGCCTGATGTGACGCTGAAAGGACCAAGCCTGCAAGGAGACCTGAATGTCTCTGGTGACATCAACTGCCCGGAAGTCTCAGTAGGTGCTCCTGATCTAAGCTTGGAGGCATCTGAAGGTGGTATCAAACTTCCCAAAATGAAGCTTCCCCAGTTTGGCATCTCCACTCCGGGGTCCGACGTAGACATTAACATCAAGGGGCCACAAGTGACTGGAGAACTGAAGGGGCCAGGCATGGATATGAACCTCGGAGGTGTGAACCTGAAAGGGCCTCAGATTTCTGCACCTCACATCTCAGCACCAGATGGGGACTTTAGCTTGGAAGGACCAAAAGTCAAAGGTGAGATGAAAGGCCCCTCTGTTGGAGGAGGTCTTGCAGGCATCAATGTTCAGGGTTTAGAAGGAAGCCTCCAGATGCCTGGAATCAAGTCCTCTGGATGTGATGTGGAGCTGCCAGGTGTGAACGTGAAACTCCCAACTGGGCAGATTTCTGGTCCTGAAATCAAAGGTGATCTAAAAGGTACAGGTCTAGGTTTTGATGGGGCTGCTCCTGATATCGGCGTGAAAGGGCCTTCGTTTAACATGGCAGCTCCTGAGTCAGATTTCAGTGTTGGCTTGAAGGGCCCGAAAATCAAAGGAGCTGTAGATGTTTCCGGAGGTGTCAGTGCCCCAGGTATCAGCCTGGGTGAAGGGCATATAAGCGTCAAAGGTTCCGGAGCGGAATGGAAAGGACCCCAGGTCTCCTCTGCTCTCAACTTGGATGCAACTAAGTTTGCTGGGGGACTTCATTTGTCAGGACCAAAGGTAGAAGGCGATGTGAAAGGAGGCCAGATTGGACTGCAGGGTCCTGGGCTGAGTGTGTGTGGGCCTCAAGGTCACTTGGGAAGCGGATCTGGAAAAGTAACATTCCCCAAGATGAAGATCCCCAAATTCACCTTCTCTGGCCGGGAGCTGGTTGGCAGAGAAGTGGGGGTGGATGTTAACTTCCCCAAAGCCGAGGCCAGTGTCCAGGCTGCTGCCGCAGAAGGGGAATGGGAAGAGTCCGAAGTGAAACTTAAGAAGTCCAAGATCAAGATGCCCAAGTTTAATTTCTCTAAACCTAAAGGGAAAGGCGGTGTCACTGGCTCACCAGAAGCATCCATCTCAGGGTCCAAAGGTGACCTGAAAAGCTCGAAGGCCAGCTTAGGCTCTCTGGAGGGAGAGGCAGAGGGTGAAACGTCTTCTCCCAAAGGCAAATTCTCCTTCTTTAAAACCAAGAAGCCCCAGCAGCGCTCAAACTCCTTCAGCGATGAAAGGGAGTTCTCTGCGCCTTCCATCCCAACAGGGACTTTGGAGTTTGAAGGTGGGGAAGTGTCGTTAGAAGGTGGAAAGGCCAGAGGGAAACACGGAAAGCTGAAATTTGGTACCTTTGGTGGATTGGGGTCAAAGAGCAAAGGTCATTATGAGGTGACTGGGAGCGATGAAGAGGCAGGCAAGTTACAGGGGAGTGGAGTATCCTTGGCCTCGAAAAAGTCCCAACTGTCATCTTCTTCTAGCAGTGACAGCGGGACCAAGGTTGGCATCCAGCTTCCCGAGGTGGAAGTGGCAGTTTCCACAAAGAAAGAGTAGCAGGCCTTTGTATGTGTGTACATATATATATATAAATACATCAGCCTTGGGTGTGTTTGTATATAAACTCCAAAGAGAAACACGCCATAGCCTCAGCAATAATGCAAAGAGCTTGCCTCTCCCAGTGGCAAGTGCTGACAGGAGCCTTGCAAATAGCTCAAAGGTTCCAAGTTCCTCCAGCCCATGTACAACGTCAACAGTATTTGCATTAAGATTTCAGTTTTTTGGTTTTTTCTTTTTTTTTTGCATTGAATGCTGAGAGCTCCCGTTTACTAAGCAAGCTTTTGTGTTTATTATCCTCATTTTTACTGAACATTGTTAGGGTTGGGGTCATGGAAACTCACTTTTTCATTGTAATTACTATTGGGGCTTTTGTTAGTAAGGGAGGGTGGGGTAGGAGGCAGTAGACGCTGCAAGACCTTCATTTCTCCTAAGATTGGATCCACTCAAACAGCAGACATCCGAAGATGGCCGCGAGGAACTGGGGGCCAGGGTGTTTGGGTGTTAGAGCTCTTTGGCATTGCTTTTTTTCGCCAGGTGTGGCGGTCCCAGCCAGTTTGGTGTTGACAGCGAGAGGGAATTAGAATCTGTTTGCAAATTGTCCAACCCACCAGCTCGACATGAGGCTTCCATTCTTTGTTTGTAAGAGAAGTATTTGTGCCTGACCGCCATGTCCCTGATATTCTGATTTCTTTTAACAAATGTTATTGTGATTAAGAAAATTTTCCAGCACTTTAATGGCAAGTTAATTGAGAATGTAAGAAAACTGATGCTGTAAAAGGTGAATAAAGCTGTTTATTAACCCTGATGCTTTGTGACTTTGTGTTCTGTGTTGGATGGGGGGGCGGCCTGGGAAGGCTGCAGACCCAGCCCTGCCAATTCCAGCTGGACCCACCCGCTGGCCTTGCTAGTTTCACTGTTGTTAGCTGTCGAGTTTGTTCCAACTCATAGCGGCCCTATTGGGCAGAGTAGAACCGCCACATAGGGCTTCCTAGGCTGTAGTCTTTACGGGGAGCAGATCACCAGGTCTTTTCTCCCGCAGAATGGCTGGTGGGTTTGAACTGCCGACCTTTTGGTTAGCAGCCGAGCGCTTAACCGTTGTGCCAGCAGGTCTCCTCCTGGTTTGATTAGTGACTTTAAACTAGTGACTTCCCCTTCTTCCCCATAGGTGATGGGAGGGATTCTTTGCTTTTCGAATCTCAGATGAGACTGGCTGCACCATTGCTGAGAATCAAGAGAGGCACACGGGTAGCCCAAGACCCAGGACCCACCCCCCGACTTTGCATCTTCTGATATGAATATAAGATTGAAAATGGTTCTAAATGGGTAAAAGGATACAGATGTGAATGAATGGAGAAAAGACCTGTTACGAGTGGTAGCGAGGGCTCTGGCTATGAGCCATCGGCCTGCGATCTACTCCTGACTCGGCTGCTATTTTGCTGTGTGGCCTCAGGCAAGTTACCTGCCCTTTCTGGGCCTCAGTTGCCTTTTCTTTGAAATCAGGGTGCTGATCTAGTATTAGATATCTTTTTGATTATTTCTAGTTCGTGTTAAGGCTAACCTTGATGAAAAATCTCTTCTTACCAAAGTCCTCTTTTGATTTTCAGCCTTATAGACAATATGTGGTGGGGGAGCCTTCTGGTAACTGGCTTCTAATGTTGATTATCACTGGGCAGAGGGTGATGCCTTCTTGTACCAAAACAATTGGGCCAAGCTCCTTCCCCTTGTCATTCCCCAGAGCTGCCTGTTTCCTGCCAGTGCATTCTCCCCAGACCAGAGACAACCCCATCCAGCGCTCTACAGGGCCACCTTATCAGCAGATTTCCACACAGCAGTGGAATCTCCTGCCCAGTGTGGGCTCCACCTGCCCCTAGTTGGATTTCAGACGTGCATTCACCAGCTTCATCCATTCCCACCTCAGCTGGCCCACATCCAGAGGGCAGAGCCCGTGTCCCTGGGGGTTTGGGAGCTCAAGGGTGACTGTTGGTTTTGGAAAGAGAGAGGGAAGGAAGGAGGTCCTTGACCCCCTGTTGCTTTTCTTAAGATAACCTCCCTATAGATGCCTTTGTGAATTGGTCAAGGCACTTAACCTCTTCTGAGTTGAGTTTCCTTGCCTGCAAATAGGGAACGTATTCGTCAGGCCAAAGAGTCTACTCTATTGCATGAGGTTGTCTACTGCACGAGGGTGCCACATTGACACATGCAGCATTCATGTCACAGTCATTTATTTACTGGGAGCACGAGGGTGGGTATGGAGTCCTGGACAAGCAGGTGTGACTCCTTCTTCTAGAATATTCTAGAAACATTCCAGGATACACTGGGCCACACACACTCAAGAGAGCAAGCATGCACACGCCCACTGGTTCACACACATACATGCAGCTCCCTTCTGTCCTAATGGGGTCTGGGCAACCCCGGAGGTTGCTTGTTTCACTCAACCCTTTCTCAAAGCCCAACTCCTGATCCTCCCTTAACTGTGAAGCTGACAGGGGTGTGGGGTGGGGCAGAGGGAGCATGCTGCCCAAGATGTGCGACCCTGGTGTCCGGGGCCGGGGTGAAAGCATGACAGTAGGGTACACTTGGGTATATAGCCGGGGGTGATGCCCATCACGATGCTGGGAAGATCCCCTCAGCAGAGCTACTCAGGTTTCCCAATAATGTATCAATTAAAGTCTTATTTTAGCTCGAGGAAGGGGTGAAGTAGGCTAGTGGTGGTCCTGAGTGTCTGTTCATTCAATAACTATTTTTGAGCACTTACTGTGTTCTAGGCATGTTGTTTGGTCCCAAGCCAGCCCCACTGATCTCAAACTCCTCTGCTGACCTCCGCAGATCAAATGATGCAGTAAACGTGAGTGGTTTGGAAAACTGAAAAGTTCTATACACGTGTAAATAATAATACTGCTACCAGTGATGATGAGGATGAGAATGATGGTTCCTGGGTTCTCAGGGCAAGGTCTCATTGGTTGGGACAGTCAGAGGGTGGTGGGAGGGATGGAGGAAGAACATAGCAATTGGCCATTTTAAAGGCAAGAACCTTTTCAGCCGTGCCTCCTTGCACATTAGGCCCAGGCTGGAGGCAGTGACCAGGGTCTCCTGGTGAGACCCGTGTGGGCCACAGAACATGAGCCTTCCTTCCTGCAGTGACCGTTACCATAGAAGGGGCAGCCACAGAAGAAGGTTCAAGGGCATAGTGTGGGATGTGTTCATCCCGGCTGGCTTCCCTTTGCCTCCCTGCCCCCGCCACTCCTACTACTCTTCTCTTCCCTGGTCCTCTTGATGCCTTCATCACCACCTGCCCCTGTCCTCTCTCACGCCTTGCTGAGGACGGTCCTAGTTATCCCCCAAAGTTCTGCAGGGCCCTTCAGCCAAAGATTAGACAGGTCTCCAGGGCCAACAATTACACACATAAGGAATGTGCTTCGTAGTTCAATCATGTTCACGAGACTAATGGGCACACCAGCCCAAAAGCAAAGAGAAGGCAGGAAGGGACAGGAAAACTGTACAAATGGAAACAGGGAATCTGGGGTGGAGAAAGGGAGAGCGTTGGCACATTGTGGGATTGGCAACCAATGTCACAAAACAATTTGTGTATTGACTATTTAACAAGAAACAAATTTGCTATGTAAACTTCACCTAAATCACCAAAAAAAAAAAAAAAAGCTCTGCAGGGGCCCAGACTTGCCAGGTCTGACCCTTGGAGATCCTGGCTCCTGCGTTGGAGGTGGTAGGAGCATCTTCAGGAGACTGGGAAGGGGCTGGGAGGGACTCTTCCAGGTCCTTCCTCAGCGTTCTACAGCGGGGACTGTAGCCTCTCAGGAGACTTTGCTTTAGGCAGCATGACAGTGTGTGTGGAAAGCGGTGTGGTTGAGGGGACATTCGGCAAATGGAATTATTTGAAATACACTATGGGCTCACACATAGCAGGGAATGTTTCTCATAAACTCATTTCTGTGTCTGTCGGGATTCCTGCACGAAAGGAAATTCCATGTGAAGATAGTTCAACCGAAGAGTTGTGGAGTAGTGGGCAGGGGCAAAGGGGCCAACAAGGGGTCAGGAGACCTCCAGGGACATCAGGAAGCTGGTACTACTGCTGGGCCAGGAGGGACACGGGAAGGAAATGGTGTTCCTGGAGTCCAGCGAGAGCTAGAGGTAAAGGAGGGGCCACCTGCAGGAGCTGAACCATGGAGGTCTGCCATCACTGCCCGCCAGGCAAAGTGGGGAGAAATACTCTGACCTCTCTCTCCTGCTGATGCCTCCCACTGGAGGGCAAGGGAGCCCAGGTGTTGCAGGTGAAGGGATCAGCTCCATGGAGGCACACAGCAGGGCAGAGAAGCCTGGAGAAGGTGGAAGGGGAGAGAAGCAGGAGAAGGGGTCTGAAGGTGGAGGGGGCAGATAGAGCGTAACCAGGACAATGTCTTAATCCTCTCATTTTTCTGTTTGGTAGGTTTGAATTTTTATATATTGGGCTTTCTTCAAATAGCTACAGTTATGTATTCAAGGTATGATGATCAAGCAGTGTGACTATTTTTTAAACAAACACTAATATATCCCAATGACTTCTTCATTCTCAGCAATCTTCTTGGGAGTCTCCACACTTACTTCTGAGAAAGTTCTATGGTTAATATTTTTGCTTCCTCTCTTTTGGAACTCAGAGTCACTTGTACACTTAAAAACAAAACAGAATAAAAATTCTTTGGCCCACTGGTGTCACTCGGGTTGGTGTCACCCAGCATGGTAACTCATGGTTTCCCCTCATGCTAATCACTACAATATCGTAGCTAAAACACCAGAAATTTTGACAAAATCAGCGACTATCAAAATACCGGCAGCAAGGAAAACAACAGCGCGTGTGTGCAGATGAAATCACGTGATTCGAAGCGTCCTTGTAATTGTGTAATAATGACAGCTCTAACTGGAACGCATTAGAAGGTTCAAAATTAAATTAGAATAGAGTTTTAGCCTTGTAAGTATATTGACACACATAAGCTGGGCTTACGAAAAATGTTTTTGTTGTTATAACAACTACCGGGATATTTTTATAAAAAAGAACAAATTTCTGTTGAAACACTGCACAAAAACTTTATAGACAGTCATCTTGGTGTCACCCCCTCTGACAGTGTCGCCCAGTGTGGTCCACACCCCTCATACCCCTCTAGTGCTGCCACTGCTTTGGCTCTACAACCAGAACTCTTCCTCTCTTGATTTTTGCAAATAGCCACAGGGCCTGGAAGATACTCCAGGGTTCCCCGGACAGATCCCTGAGAAAGACACTGTCTGGGAGTCAGTGGGATTATCTGAGCCCTCAGGAAAATTCAAGTCCCTCTCTGAGCCTCGGTTTCTTTATCTGTAACATGGGTGAGGAATTCTCCAAGGTCCTTGCCAGTTCTGATGGTCTAGGAGCCTTCCAGAAGCAAGGCTGATTAAGAAGGGGGATGGGGCTGTTTTGAGTCAAAAGCAAGGCATGATTATAATGTAGTGCGACTAACTTTCCTGTGTGGTTGGTAAACTGACTCAGATGTTTTGAGCAACGGCAGTGTTGTTGAAATACTGCTATGACTCCAGTGTCCAAAAGCAAAGAGGGTGGCACCCACCTGGACGGTGACTTTGGATGTTGCTAATATATGTCTCACTTCTTCAGAGTCCCACCCCAGCTCTCTGGTATTGTGCCTTAGGCTGGGACATGGGTAACAGATCTAGGAGATGCAGCTAAGCGTGTAAACAGAAGTTCCTTAAAAAAAAAAAAAATAGTATTTATTTATTTTTATTTATTAAAACAATTTTTTTATTGTTGTAAAAATAGATGTAATA